ACTCTTCTGCAGCATTTTGGATTAACTGAAGGCTTTTCAGGAAGTTTTTAGGACATCTTGATAATAATGAATTACAGTAGTCCACACTAGAAGTAATAAATGCATGAGCTAGTTTTTTCAGCGTCACTCTTAGACAGGATATTTCTAATTTTAAAGGTGTTGCGCAAATGGAAGAAAGCAGTCCTACATATTTGTTTAATATGTGCATTGAATGACATATCCTGATCAAAAATGACTCCAAGGTTCCTCACAGAGTTACTGGAGGCCAAGGTAATGCCATCTACAGTAAGTATCTGGTTAGATAACCAAGATTTCTAGGGCCAGTAACTTCAGTTTAGATGTCCTCCAGGTCTTTGTATCTTTAAGACATTCCTGCAGTTTAACTAATTTGTGTTTGTTATCTGGCTTCATGAATAGATAAATAGCAGTGAAAATGTATGCTATGCCTTCTAATGATACACGTATAATGCAAACAGAACTGGTCATAGCACAGATCCTGTCGACGTCCATAAATAACCTTAGTGTGTGAAGAGGACTTTCCATTTATATGAACAAATTGGAGTCTAATAAATAGATATGGAACAAACCATTGCAGTTCAGTACCTGTAATACCTGCAGCATGCTCTAAATTTTCCCTTATAGAATATTATAGTCAACAGTATCGATTAAACAACAGAAAATGCTTATATTTTTACATTCAAAACATTATATTTATGATTTTATTTAATGCCATTAATGCATGTGGCCTGCTATCTCAACATTACCCCACATGCAAATGCTGAAGAAATTCAAAGAATTTCTTTTCTGTACTCACTTTGAGCAATATGATTGAATGCATTGCAAGTTACAGTTAAGAGAACGTAATTGTGTAATTTTACAAACAGAAGTTCAAAATTTATTTTTCTGCCCAGATCATCAACAATAATAACCCAAATAATAATAAAAAAAATAATAATAATAACCCAAAATACAGCCTTATAGTATGAGTTACTTGCTCCTCCTCAAATCTGTGCCAGTTGTGGCACCAACAACCACGAGTAAACTTTCCAGGGTAGGTGGACAAAACCAAGCAAACAAATTGCTTTTGGAAACAATCCATTTATTTTCAGAACTTACACTCAGTTATAGTCAATAACTTAAATCACTCAATTATTTATTTTGGTCATTTCACCGAGTGAGTGAGTGAGTGAGTGCAACCATGTGAATGAACATGATTCGAGTGGGTGATTCATGGTGAAATCTGCGATATGAAAAAATGGGTGGCTGAAAACCGTCTCACATCTTTTGAGGGAATGGTGCATGTTCAGCGATTCATCCTCTGAACATAATACTCAGTGAATCTAAGACCTGAGTGATAGCCAGGAGCTTAAACCAGGCCCAACAAGTCGAGTGTGTCAGTTAAAAACACTTGAAACCAAAGTCAGGAAAACTTTCAAAATATTAGCAATTATAAACACATGGCAAAGTGAAAAGACAAGGTTGTATTTCAGCTCAGTGAGTGTAACTAAGTTGGTCTGAGTTCTGGTCAAAAACACTGGATACCTTGAGAAAACCTGACACATTGCCAGGTTCAACTCTTCAATGACCCATTGTGGAAGCCTTTTCTCATTTGCAGGGAAGAAACAGCTGCTGCTCTGCTGTGGAAATAACATCAGGGAAATGATCTGGGAGAAAATCAGCTTGACCAACAGCTGTGTACTCTAAAGTGCTCTCTCTCAGCTGAGATGTGAGGCAGATAGACGGAATGCAGGCCTGAATGGGCTCCCTGTTTCTGCTTTACTCACACTAAGCCTTTAGAGGATCACAGGCAGCAGCAGTGTGTATTTTAATATGCAGCTGAACTACATCAACAATTCCACATGAATTTGCATTTTGGCCATTTCATTCTCAAACTGCTTCCATTCCAAGCAAAATAAGCTGATCGGATAGTTGGATATCAAAGCAATGACTGTAGTAAACATAGTGCCAGTGTTTGCTTACCAATCACATTCTGTACAACTTACTGCTCTATCGTTCTGTCAAGTTTTCCCACTGTTCGGTTAATTCAGTAAAATGTATCTAAATCGAAAGCAGAAGTTATTTTACTTTGTTACATTGCTGATAACCAGATGTGTGGTTTGTGCTTACGTCAGATTTAATGTACAAAAATGCCAACTTAATACCTGATTCCCCTGAGCACCAAATCATTTCCTGAAATTCAAATATTTATATGCCCCCTTAAAATAGCACTTCAATGGCAGACTGTGCATTTGAAAGAACTACATCTGAGCTGTAAAAAAAGAACAATTTTAGTATTTCAGTATTCAAAGAACTAAAATGTGCAACTAACTAAATTAGCCAAAGTAAGACTTAAGAACAGATTTTCTTTGGTGAATTGACTTCGACTCAAACTTTTCCTGACTTTCTTTGAATTTTTGGCCACAACAAAAACTTTGAAGTTATGTTGGCAATAGCCTCTGTTCCTTATTAACATATTTACAATCATCCATAAACAGGGAGAAACTGCACATCTGTATTCCTCCCCACCAAAAAAAAAGGAACTGCATGTATTCCCACTCCGAATAGCTGCATTAGTTAAATGCATACTATGTTGCACTGTGACTACACCCACTGTTTGAGCTACAAAATTGGTTGTTCCGGCTTCAGTATGTCACACATATATATGAATTCATATGTATGTTTTTAAAATGAAGGTAAGTGAAGCTCCATGAAATTCTGAAACATATGCCTTTCACAGCTGCTTCAATAAAGCCACAGCGAAACTGAGCACAATGTTGCCATTTATCTGAAGTCACAGTGCTTAACTTCATATTTTATCAAGACTGACAGTTAAGCCAGCACCACCTGGGTTTCACTTAAAGTCGTAGGCTGTATACACTCATCAGCCACTTCATTAGGTATATCTTGCTATTACTTGAAACTAGGGCTGTTCGATATAACGATATATATCGGATGACGATATAAAAACGTCTATCGTTTCATTTTACGCTATCGTTTGTTTTGTGGTGTCACAAAATAAACTGTTTACCGCAATATTTTTTCATCGTTTTGATGGTCACTGTAGTGGCTATATTCATTTCTTAAAGTTCTCTCTTTCTCTTTTATTTAATATAACCACACTACAGACGGACAAGCGCCTGTTTTTACAACGACGGTAACAGCATCGCGTATCCGCTTGTTTATCTTCCACATAAACCTTTCACAATAAAG